TATATATACCTTGCTCCAGAGGTCACTTCTCCCTACGCTAAGGAATAGAAAAGAGGGAGACACAAAGAAAACAAACATGCAGACAAATAAAAATTATTAACCTCATTTTAATTTATCATGCAAAAGGCAACAGGCCTAGTGTGAATGGAGATTATTAATTCAAATTTATGCCTATCTTCTTGTGATTTCTTGAATTCAGTATTAGGTCAAGTATTTATTTATTTAAGTAAACAACTGTAGTGTAACAGAAGTCACTTTTGTCAGAGGCTTTCTGAAGCAAACATAAAATAATAAAGATCAGTTTAGTCATTTTCAAACATTTCCATGCAGCTTACTGTMTTTGTATGTTCAGAGAGAAGAAGATGTGCCTCCCAGACCTCCTCTACCTCAGCTCTACAGTCCTGAAGAGCATCCCCCRGCTGTGCCGCCGCTGCCTCGGGAGACGACAGTCATCAGACACACTTCCGTACGCGGCTTAAAACGGCAGTCAGACGAACGCAAGCGTGATCGAGAGATCGGCCAGTACACGAACGGGGACAGCAAGGTATGTGTGCGTTGTTGTGTTACTGCCYCAGACATCTGAGTTTGTTTCTGAGGTGCTTGTGAATGTCTTAGGTGGAACTAAGGCCTTTCCTGAGTGATCCAGAGCTCATGGGAGCTGGAGACGGATCCAGTCACATCAGTGTCGGAGCCTCTGGTCACGATGGAGGTTACCAGACMCTACCTAGCAGAGGTACATGGGGGTAAAAGCGAATAAACAACACATATTAATACTTTGTATATAAGCTATACAGCACAAAGGATTTCAGTTTTTTTTTTTTTCATAACAATGTCAAGTGGAGAGCAGTGTTTCATATTTTGCTTGGTTTTCTTTAAGGAGTAGCTGGCTCCTTGTTTAGGCTCAATCAGTCTTCGAGCATCTCCTCATATGTGACTCTCAGAAGATCGATTTCTGCAGCTGGTGTAAAGGTGAGCCAGAGAAAATAAAGTCAAAGCGTTAACTTTTGAATATTTTTATTTTTGGCATTAGAAAATGGATTAGGGCCACACAAATATTCTCTGTCATCGTCAATATCATCAWTGCAATGAAAAGATTGTTTTACTCCAAATGCCATGCAATTATCTTCTCACTGCTCATGGTGCTCACGCCTGATTCAGATCAGTGTGTTTGAGAATCAGGGAACTAATTCCCTGATTAGTGCTTTAGGGCTTTTGCTCATTTTTGAATTTATTAGTGGATTAGCACTTGCTAAATTTATGGGCTAAATTTAGAAGCATTAACACAGGTCTTTAAAGCTCATTGAACAACATTATTGTTAACAACTGTAAACTCACATAAGGCTGAGGAATGTCGGTAACGATAGCAATATGTGTCTCATGTTGTRTGTTGAAGAATGTTCCATAGGTTGACTGGGTTATTTTAGTACTTTAGAATTAACGTTTGCTAAATTTTCAGTGTGTTAGTGCTTTAGAATTAGGGGACCTACATATTTGAGGAAGTGCTTTAGGGTGAGTGGAACAAATTTTTAGATTAGTTCTGCCTACCACTGTCTACTACAAATATTAGCATTCTGAATATGTATACTAACTGAATACTCTCTGGTTACCTTCCTTTTTGAGATTTAAGAACTGTGCCTTATGCTACGTTCACACCGAATGCATTTTGAGCAGCAAAAAAGTGCCCAACGCCTCAAGTTGGACGCGCTACGTTCAGACCAGGACAGAGACTAGACACGTGTCTGAAGAGGGAGGAGTGTCTTAGTCTTTTTCCAATCTGTCTTCGGCGGTGAAATAAAGATAAAATAAAGAAAATGGCTTTGTTTTATTTAGTAAAGAGCAAGCAACAGCACAGCAGATAATTAATTCACCAGATAATTTAGAGGCGGTTTGTTCGGTTAGTTTCACCACACCAGGAGCTGCGAGCTGAAAAACTATTTTTTGTTCTGAGCCCAGTTTAACACCGTGGTCAGTTTAACGAGCTGCTGACCCGCATCGGTGCTGATATCTCCAGTCAGAACACCAGCTACAGACGGTCGATTTCAGCTAAAGATCTCCTGTCCATCTGTTTCGGTTCAGCAAAAGTTCAGATTGTTGAACTCGGGCGTCGGCTGCTTTCGCCGCACCGCATGCACGGAAAATGCTCTACCGCTACCTTCACCTTCCATGTGCTCCACGCTAAACGGACTTGACGTGCCGCGAGACCCCAAGAGGCGCGTCCACCATAGACTTTGCATGTAAACCGGCCGCTCCTGCAGCTCAAAATGCGTTCAGTATTAAAGMGGACACGTCATGCAAAATCCACTTTTTCAGCTGTTAAATGAGTTTTGTTGTGTACTCTGATTCTCTCAAAGTTCGGAAAACTTTAATCTAGTCTTTCATGGTGCCACACACATATCTTTATAGTCTGTTTGGGTCATATTTTTCAACCCATTCAGTTTTTCTTTTTTTTTTTCATTTTCTATGACATTTTCTGAACTATTACGGTATTTGTGATGTAATAACAACTAATAGTAATAACTTCCCTTGTTGACATCTTTTAATTACTTTGTAAATAAAAAGGTTTCTGCACAGCTATATAGTCATAAAACCCTCCAGCTCTGGAAGCTGGAGGGGGGCAGGGTGTGAAGCACCTCATTTGGATTTAAGGAGACAGCCTCAAAACGGGTTGATCTGAGACACACCTCAGGAAAGGGGTAAAAGAGAGGCTTGTGAAAAAAGCAGAATTTAAAAGCACGATATGCCCCATTTAAACTCAGTGTCACCCCCTCATTAGGTGTACATTTTTTCCTCTTTTGTCATTTTTGCTGTCTGCTACACCTCTCATTGTCCTTCTCAACTTTAACTTCCTCCGTCTCCTCTCAGGAGAGACCGAAAAGTGCCTTGGAGCGTCTGTACTCTGGGGACAGGACGCCGCAGCAGCAGAGGGGGAAGATGAGCGCCGACGAGCAGCTGGAGAGGATGAAGCGGCACCAGAAGGCCCTGGTTCGCCAGCGCAAACGCACCCTGAGCCACGGGGACCGCCAGGCACCGCCTTCGACGCGCCCCTCGTCCTCTCGCCCGCTCTCAGCAGACTTGGGTTCAGTATGTTATTAGAACAATAGCACACGTCTCTCTCACGCATGACGACAACCAAACTGAGAGTGATGATTTGCAGTAGCGACGCATGCCTTCACTAGACACTTTTTTTTCTTTTACCGACGTTAAATATTAAACTTTATTTAGTGCACTTTTGTTTTTGAGTGTTTCACTGTGTGTATTCACCTTTAATGCATGTTGTTGTTGTTTTTTTCTGTCACTTAATTGTTTTTGGACTGCAGACATTTTGTTTTGGATAGCGAGCAACAGCAGAACCTTTTTAGATTGTAAAACCTGCAATCTTAAAGGACAGTATAGGTTCTGTTTACAGCTTGTGACATGTTAAAATACATTTTGTGACAGTACTGGACACAGAAATAGATATCAGTTTTTGCCTACAAAACTCAGCACAGAGTGCAGATTTTGCTAACATTTTTGTTGAAAACAGTTTATTATATAAAAATATACAATAACTTTCATATAAATACTGATTTATAATCTTTACAAACGGTTTTTTTACAGTGTGAACAAACGACTCACTAATTACCTCACATATAACCATTTTGTGCCATTTATTACTTTTATCAGTTTTTTTTGTATGTTGTTCATTGCACCTGTTTTTCTCAAGACTTCTTCTGTTCTCTAATGATCGTTTCATTTTGATCTCATCGTAACACAATTACTACCCCAGTTCAGAAGTTGGGACACTGTGTGAAAAGGTAAAAAAAAAATTTAATTCAATGATGTGTGGAAATAAACAAACATATTTTATTCATAACAGATAAGATGTGTTTACTATATGTTGTGAACAAAATGTTGGTTTTTGCGATTTAGAATTTATTTTATTTAGTTTAGTTTTGTTTACACAGTGTTCCAGCTTTTACAGAATTGGGGTTGTACTTCCACACCGTTTGTTTTATGACCTATAAAAGTGTTTTGCTCTGGTAGATATTATAAACTCATTGTATGTTTGTGCTCATTTAAATGTTAAAAACTGCTGTTTGTCACTTGTTGAAGTCGCTAAGTTGTCCATATGTGTTTCCATGTGTATCTATGTGTGTGTATGTATGTGTGTGTGTGTGTTTGAGAGAAAGAGATAGGAAGCGGTTACTTACTGACCCAAACATTAACACACTTACTACTAAACAATATAATGTTAAATCTCATTCATCTAAAACCCATCACAGCATTCTCCTTGATGCCTTCATAAATAATATAAAAATAAAAAAGCTGATTATGAATTGGGAACTGCTGTTGTCCCTTTTCCCACCTATTGAAGGGAACCATTATATTGAAGCAGCACTGATGTGAAAGACCAATTTAATATCAAAACATAGCTTAAGTGTCTGCTCAGTGTTTTTTTCTGCTAATTAAAAAGAACTTTTTTTCAAATGTGAATGTTGCAACAAAATAAACAATATTTTCTAAAGAACTCATATTGCCATGTTTTTTTTATTTTCTTTTTTAACTACTCACATGCTCAAACCTCGGACAATATAAATATTCAATCATTGTAGAAAATAAACACTTTATGTACACGTGTCAGACANTTTAGCAATTAAATTTATTTTATGAACACAGAATATTTTGATGTGTGATGTTTGGTGAATCTGTCATCGGATTGAGTGAAGTGTTCCTGCTTATTTTTGTGGTGTTTTMCTGTTTACCTTCCCACTTTTGTAGAGACTCTCCGTGTGCTTTGTTCTGAAAGCCTTCCCCTCCATGTAAGCATGCATATTCATTTATGCATGTGTCCTGTACTTTTCAACCGTGAGTGCCTTTTCACATCAAAATAAACAAAGTTGAGATCGTCTAAGAACGAGTTTTGCCGCGCCTTGTGTGTTTGCATGAGTGCGGGAGCAAGTGAAACAAGTCATTTTTTTTACACTTTTAGTTTGTGCCACTCGATGGCAGCGGCCTGCGATTTGCTTCACTGTCTCTGTCTTGTGTGCGTTGTCCAGTGGAAGAGAGAGCAGGAGTTTGACCTGCAGTTACTCGAGAGAGCTGTTCAGGGGGAGGAGGATCAGGCAGTTAGGAGTGTCCAGGGGGAGGAAAGGCCTCCTGAGCACAAAGAAAGACCTCGCTCACACTCTGACGAATGGCTGACCTTCTACTCCACGTCCTCAACRCCTCCCATGAAGGAGGCTGACTTGGAACCGCTGGACTATGACCTGGACCTTAACAAAGAGGTAACGCTTCACTTAACATTTTTATGAAGCACGTKTTTGTACAACTTTCATTTTACTAAGTGAAGTTTAAGAGTTTTTGTATAGGTATGAAAAAATTAGTTAGGTACATAYATATAAACTGTTACAGGTAAAGATAAAACAATGTAGTCCAAAAATTCATTAGACATTTATACAAACACAGATTGGAAGAAATCTATACATGGCTGCTAAACGTTCTCATACAATGATAATCCTTTAGCAAAATGTCGTATTTTTTCCAGATTTAAATTATTAACATTTTAACTTTAGGTACTGCCAATCCCTTCCTTGACATTAAAATTAACATTTTTGCTGRGTTGAGGTAAATTGAAAATTCTTCACAATATATTAAACACATCAAACCAATAATTGGCAACTTTAGGGCAAAGAAAAAAGGCATGAAAATATGTTGAAGGACTGACGTTTATCACAAGTTGATGAAACTTTCAAAAAAGTAATACGAATTTTTGCTTTATAATAATGAACTGTCTTTTTTTTTGCTTTGTTGTCTAGGAATTACAGCAGAGCTGCACAACATCAATGCAAAAATACTAAATAAGCAAAAACAAAAATAAAGAAAAACTAAACCAAATTAAGCTTGTTTTTGTATGAAAGATGTGCAAATTATAAGCTAGAATTACTTAAACAATAATTTAAATAAGCTGGCTGTTTTATGCTCAGTTCAATTTAAGCAAGACACAATTCATAAAATGCTTTTAATTCCTTAAATGCATTTTTGTACTTGATATCAGTGTTTTTTGTTCATTTGGGAAGTTGAATAAATGAACATGAATCAACAGATAAAATAAGCTTTTATGGTTGCTAAAACATTTTTTTATTCATACTTTGAACCTCAAATAATCTTTTGTAGTTTATGCATCACCAGTGTGACAGAAACTCTAAAGGACTATTTATTTTAATTTTATTTATTTAACCTTTATTTCAACAGGTAAAACATTAAGAACAGTTTCTTATTTACAATGTTGACCTGAGAGTGCAAAAACACTTAAAACACTTAAAAATGGGAAAGGGGGAACAAACAGTACATAAAACATATAAAATGAACGGTGCATTCATTCTTTAAAACTGTTACATGACTCCTTAAATAAATGAATGAATAAACGAATGAGAGAATGAATCAGTGCTGGTTTTAGTTTGAAGTATATTAACAACTGGACTAAGTTTAGTTTAATCATTTTAAAGCAGACTTACAGTTTCAAATGTGGAAGGCCATAATCGTATCGACCTCAGTGTTGTTCTGTAACAAATGATTGAACCACTGAAAAAACTAAACCACAGCAGAACACTGCTGACAGAGTTAAAACAGTTGATTWTATCTTTTGTTTGCAGTATTAGATGCTGAATATGCCACAGTTGGTGGTTTTATAAGTGCTGTAATATTCTGTCTGCACCAGTAATAGAATGTCTAAAACAAAATTATTTCAGATCCCTTCAATACATTGTGAGTGCACTAATCTTTATTAATTACTTCTGTTGCCTCTAACAAACAGGAAAATATTTTAATGGCTTTTATATTCTAATTAARAGAAAATCATGTATTTTTCACTCATATTCATATATCTTTAAGGCTCATCATTACTCAGGCTCACTATAGAATGTTACAGAAGTTGAGGGGTTTTTTTTTGTTTGTTTTTTTGTTCCTCATTTGTCAAAGACCAGATCCAAACGTTGCTCTTCTTTTTCTCCTAGCTGTCCAAACCTCAGAAAGTGTTAATTCCAGAGCGATATGTGGATTCAGAACCTGAGGAACAGCTCAGTCCTCAGGAGGTGGAGGAGCGACATCGGAAGGTGGAGCGCATCAAAAGCATTTTGGCAAAATCCAGGTACACATAAAAAAAAACCCACTTTGAATCGGCTCCAGTTTAACACGAATGTTCTGAAGTTTTACTTTGGGCTTAAAGTTTTCCAAACATTCAGCTAAATCAAAGGGCAGGAAACAGTTTTTATTTCTGGAAACAAGTCTCACTGGAGCTACTCATCTTTTTTAAAGGAGAAAATTCCTCCAAACTCAAGAGTAAGCAGTAAATTAAAATGGGTTCATTATAACTGAACAAAAAGAGAAATATTAAAGAAAAAAGAAAAACATCTGAATATTGCATGTTGTCTTGATTCTCCTTTCATCATTTCTGAAAAAAAAAAACCCGATTTTGGTAGATTTCATATATTCTTTGGTGTTAAGTTAAATTGTTGCTTCTGTTGCGGTGCCTGTGTGACCTCACAGCGACTCACAACGTCAACACAAAAATGAAGTGATGGTAAATAATCGTACATTTGGCTGCAAACCGAACGTTGCAAAACTTAATACTTTTGAGCAACTTATTAAAATTCCTTCCTTCCTAAAAGGTTGCGCTCTGAAAGGAACATTCTCATAAACAAATTTGTAATACTGACATCATGCGTAACCTTCGATGTACTTTTTTAAATTTATGAAACTCCATTGAGAAATGGAACACTATTCACTGGTTTATTTAGCGCCGGTGCTGAAATCATCCTTTCAGTCTAAAAGCCTTCAATAAGTGTTCAAATAGTTTGAGAGGTGATGACTGCCACGGCTTCTCCAAAAACATTTTTAAAATCATCTATAACATGAAGTGGTTAAATGAGTCATTTTTACCCTGGGAAAATACAGAAATCAAGACAAAACAAATAGGCTGAAGYTGATGACTCAGAACGATTTATACTAAGTTTTGGGAACTCAAGATTCAAACGTTCCTTCACTGTCATACATTACAAAGTCCAAGAGGTATAAAAGAACAAATCGTAAAAGGTTTCAACCAATTAAAAGCTTGTAGTGGTCTGGAGGTGGTGATCTTCCATCTACAGTAAGTGGGCATTTTGACTCAAACATTTCTTGTTTTTCAGGGCTATTCAACTAAATTGCTTTGGGGGCCACAGTTCATGCAGACATACGGCACAGGGGCCAAACATCCAGCAATTAAAATCGTTATGTAAATAAACCAAGTATTACAAAGAGATGTTACCTTTGAAATAGTTCATTTTGCTGCAGTTAATCATGAAAACAACATACAGAACAATATGTAATAAAAGTAGTGATAATAAAACAATATTAAAAAAACACATAATGCCTCCTATTTAACACAAATATTATTTTGACATCTCTGACTTGCCAAATTTTTAAACCAATTGTATTTTCACTTTCATAGTTTTAGCTTCAACTGCTTGTAATTTTAACTGTCTTGGGTGTTCATAGAAGATTCTGACATTTCTGTAGATACCACGTGTCTGTCTAACTAAAAGAACTTACAGTAATTACAGTAGAAAACTGGGGGTTAAAGTGCCTGTGACATGCCTATCCTTCAAATTCAAAAAGTCAAAGAAAATATCTTCATATTTAGGAAAATTGYCATAAAACACATGATTTAACCCGTTTTGTCACATAACTGGCATATTTTCCTATGAATTTGGCTCAGCTAAAGTGAAACAGGAAGTGACATCAAAGGGGAACTCTTTAAGAAAGAAAACTCCCTGGTCTTTGTTTATTGAAACAATATTTGAATTCTTATTCTTCTTTCATCTTTCTCTTATAGAGACTAAAACTATCTAAAGAAACATCAGAAAATTCCCTGCTGTCTGTGTTYTTAGCCGTTGTAGCAACGCTCTGTTTACATGCAGACATTCCCTTTTGACATCACTTCCTGTTACTTCACATGCAAATATCTCAACAACTGTTCATCTCAGTGGTGTGAAATTGCTTTTGCTATATGTTATCAATGTTATCTTTCCAAAAGTGCAATCACATTTATCACAAAAATTTGATGTCACAGGCACTTTAAGAGATGAACGAACCAGTTGGCWGGCTGAACTTTGGTAACTCCACCAGTTGACTCCACCTGCTTTAATTTGTGACTGAGCGCTCAGCGACAGCAGTAAAAGCACAACTTTCCATTATCAGTGTCACGTTGGCTCAAGTCTTTCAATTCTTTTCTCGATCAGCGTGCAAAACATTGCACCCGTGGCGTTGGTGGACAAGCCTGACGTGAGTGTGGTGGCGCTCGACTCGGCTCTGCAGGAGCAGGAGAGGATCATCACCATGTCCTACGCTCTCGCCTCCGAGGCTTCCCTCAAGAGCAAACTCGTGGCAGGTTGGTCAGCTTTGTGCTTTGGAAAGACTTGTCGAGAAGATGTTGCGCCTTTTTGGAAGCGAAGAGCAACTCCACGAAACACTTAAAGGGGAAAAATAATCAGTGTTTCTTTCAAAAGAAAGAAGAAAAAGTGCAGAATTGCTGACAGTTTGAGTCAAATGTCTTTTGGCATCAAAAACTGATGCCTTTTGGGTGTGGAACATGTCAAAAGAGAAAAGCGGCCTTTCAAGAATGCCGGTTTTATCCGGAGAGGGGCGTAAGGTGCAAAGTCGAGCAATACGCCCGTTCATTTCCTAATAACTGAATATTATTCCTTATTAGGAGCTAAGATAGTCTCTAATTGCAATCTGTGTAGGATCTTTTAGACAGGGGAGGAATTGCTTGATGAGACCATTTTGTGCGCTGATCAATGACCCAGTCAAACCCGGCTCTCCATCTGCATGCCTCTGCCGCCGCCGCTTTGAACGTAGCTCTGAACCTGCATAAAAGACGCCACGCTCACATCTCATCTCTTTCATACTCGGCAGCAGACAGGCGAGTTAATTTTCACTCGAGCTGCAGCAGATTGTCAGTCTGTCTGCCTTGCTCACACACACACACACACACACACACACGTAGATCTGTCACACACGGTAACACTCAAGCTGTCAGCGTGTGTGGAAGCTTAATATGCACAGTGAAGCAAAGTCAACAATTATAACATTATTTCCAGCATAGAGAAATGCCAGAGAATATAACTGGTGGCATCTTGTCAGTGCAGACTGAATCAATGACTTTCTCTTCCTTTGGTGTTAAAGTGAGGTCTGCTGGTGCACTTTCCAACTCATGAATTTAAAGAAGAGTCTTTTTCACAGTAGTATTCATGACAGACTTCAGTAGTGCTGCCATAAAAGAGTTAACATTCATCACTGCAATTATACAGCATATATTATAAAGAAGCTTTTGATTGTCAAATCTGTTATTCTAAACAGGTAATTTAGTCTTTTGTGACAACTTGTCAGGAGTCATATGCTGTTAATTTCGACTTCGTAATTGATATTAAATGCGCCTCTCAAATATTCAGAACTTTTTTGAAGCTGATCACATGTTCATGTGATAAGAAATATTGATTTCAAATTCTTGGTGCCACAGGCATTTATCATCTTTACTCATTTTTCCCCCCACGRAGATATCTTTACACTTTTCTTTCACTTCATAATCGCAGCCGTTTCATAATATATCTCAGCTGCTCTAACATCTGCTCAGTCCTAAAGCACATAAAGTTCTGAAGCCTGTGTAAGTTTGTTCTCTAAGTTGCTCCTGTTCACATAAACAAACCTTAGCATTATTGTTAGTTTTACCATAGTTTTCATCAATTTCTGTTGATTTAATCAAAAATTTACTTGGCTTTCTAGTGTAAAAAGTTTTAAAAAAATGTAATAAATGGGTCTAAAGTACAGTGTAAAGATTCTTCAATAAATAATAGAATAATATTTATTGCACCAAAATATTTAAAGCAAAGGGCAAAARATAAACTCATTAGTTTGATTAGCAGCAATAGAGAAAACAGAATATAAAACAAAATGTGCTTAAATTATTTGGCAGATTTTGGTGTATAGCAACGAAGTACTTTACTTTGTTACAGTACTTCAGTAATTGTTTTGAGGATCTGTAATTTTACCAAGTATTTTTTTAATGGTAACTTAATTTACTTCCATTGCATTCAAAATATAAAAAATGACACTTTTTCTTCTTTATGTGTAAAATGCCAGAATTCATATGATGCTGCTACAGCTAATATATTTGTTGTCAAAATACCTTTTAGTACATACTGTATGTTGTTAAAATAAAATGAACAGTCCAATGATCATTTTACTGATATGTATAAAGACTGRYAAGGCTGAAAAATCTTGAAGTCTGTATGAAATTGGAGGTAGTTTGAGGATGAAATTTTTTATGCTTTTTAAGCTAAAAAAAAAAAAGGGGGTCGTATTATACATGATACATGAATAAATACGGTAAGTAAATCCAACACTTCATTTTTTTTAGAGTGGTTACATTTTTTTTTACTTTCCTAATTATTGTGAACGCGGAGCATCTTGTCTCCTTTACATTGCGGGACATTTAATTTTTTTGTTGCAGGACAATTTGACAGCGTTGTCCCAAAATTAACAGGAAAACATAAACCACCTCTGAATGAGCTGCTCTTGATATTAGTCAGTTATATTAACACCATCTATATATCTGAGTCTGAGCTCCGTCCTGCCCCCGCCATTTCTGTCCAATGAGAGCAATGACCGTCACATGCGTGGCTTTGTTTATAAATTATAGTCCACTTGCACAAAGCACAACGTGAATGCAAACTGCACCAAGGGAAAAAATATAAAGTCCGCTATTTGGTCCAGACCAAACAAGTGGACCAAAGGACTTTTATCAGTGAAATTAATTTTTACCAAAGTCATTTTCTGTTGAGATAATTTTACCTTTACTTAATATATTTTTTGAAGTACTTTATACACCCTTGATAAAATCCAACTTTAATACAAAGAAGCCTAAGAAAAGCAATGTAAAACAACAGTGTTATATGATTTATTAAAAGTCATGAAACACGCCTCTGTTGTATGTTTCCCTTCAGGAACGATCGTGCGTTCGTCATCCACGCGACGCCGCCACCTTACCGACTAACACAACTAACTACCTGTGTTGTTGTTGTTGTTGTTGTTTTCTCCCTTCTGTCCTCTCCTTGTAGTTCCACCACAGGCTAACATGCCTCCCCCTCCTCC